TGAGGATTCCAATATGGAACTTTTCCAAAGGTTATATAATAAACCACTTCAGATGTTAGGTGGATTCTGAAATACTCTTCTAAGTATTCTATTTGCTACCGGTATGGGAGCAAGGCCGAGTCATACCGATGGATGAAGTGGCCATGATCACCAGGGTTACGTGACGACGTAACCCAACTATATATTTTCCATGAAAGGTGAGGTGTGTGACATGGGCAAGTGACATGTTCACAGATTCAACACTTGGTTTGGATGTGTTGAGGCCAACATTTGGTTTGGATGTGTTGGCTACTTCATGGGATTATACAATGGTGTGACTTTGGTTTAGATGTGGAATATGTATGCATTTGGTATGGATTGTATACATTGGTTATGGATTCTTTATTATCATAGAATATGTATGCATTGGCATGGATGTGTATACATTGGACTTTGGATTGGTTTATATTTGGCATGGAAATGACTTGTTATAATGTTGTCATTCCCTTGGTATGGATACATATTGTTGATGAATATCTAGTTTAATGATATTTCATTATGTTGTATTATGGTTGGTTTTATACGTGCTAACCCTTATATTTCCATGATGTGGACTGTGATGATCTCACTATGTGAGGGAGCAGATCAAGTGTGAGGCTTTGGGATAGCAAGGAATCTTTTGGTAGCTGCTTTGAGAAGTGACTAGGCTTAGAGCTTGACCAGCACCTAGGGTGTCTTATTTTGATGTCTTCATGACGTTGTATATTCATTATCTTTTTGGATGATTGTATAACCTTACGAATGATGACTCTTTTATAAAATTATGTTTTATATTATGGAAACATATTATACTTTATTGTATATTTACACTCTAATGTAACTAGCCTTTGCTCTTTTTTCTTTATTATATATTATTTTTATTTTAGTTGTCATATTGGTTATTGATATGACAGCCTACGGCGGGTCGTTATAAGGAGCACTAGATTAGCGTTAGAATCACCATCTTGAGCCATGTAGGCTTCATCATTATCCCTTCTCTGGTGCGATTTATTGAATTTGCACTCATTAGCAATGTGACCATACTTCTGACAATTGTAGCATTGTACCCTCCTCTTATCAAAAGTCTTCTTGCTCAGCTTACCACGATTATGACCACCTCTAGCTCTTCTACTTCAGGTTTCTGCCTGATCTTGATCAACACCATTCTAATAACTACTTTTGTAACTTTTATTTCAGGATCCTCTTGTAGATCCTCTCCCTCTTTTACCTCTTCCTCTATTAGCTCCATCTTTCTTGGTGACTTGGACTTGTAAGGCCTGATCTGGTACCCTTTCATTATTTCTCTCATTCATGTGTTGTTCATGAGCTTCCAGGGAACCTTGTAATTTTGCAATCTTCATTGTCTCAAGATTTTTGGACTCCTTAATAGCAACCACTATGTAATCAAATATCGTGGAGATAGTGTACACATCACCTTCTCTATAACCATCAAGTCTGTAATCTTTTTGCCATAAGTCCTCATCTGATCAACAAGACTCAACACCTTTGAGAAGTAATCAAAGACCTTGTCAAGATTCTCCATCTGCAGCAACTCAAACTGTCTCCTAAGGGACTGAAGCTTTACTTTCTTGATCTTCTCATCACCTTCGCAAGATTTTTCAAGAATCTCCCATCCTACCTTTGCTAACGTCGCTGAGGCTATCTTGTCGAAGTGCATTAGATCAACGCACTGATGCAAGAAGAATAGAGCTTTGTAGTCTTTCTTCTTGTTCTCCCTGTATGCGGCTCGTTGGGCATCAGTGGAGTTTTCACTCAACTCCACGTACTCACGTTGCACAATCTCTAGAACTTCTTGAAATCCAAAGATCACCTTCATTTGTACACAGCCTCAATCCCAATTCTTCCTGCCAAGAACTGGGAGGTTTCCAGCAAAGTTTCTGTTTGTCATTGCCATGATACATTAGCACTGTTACATAAGAATTTAATCTCCACGAGTCTAGGATTGTTAAAGCTCTAGATACCAATATGTTGAAGTAATGCACACATATGAAAACTGTATACTATTCTCTGAATCATGTACGTACTTGAATTTATAGTACCTCAAACACATTTGAATTAACTACCATCTAAAAGTATTAACTGACTCAACAAAATTGAATTAATCTCACAACATTATTAAGATAAAACATTATTACTACCTAATCTTAAACATTTGTTACTATTTGCCCATATGTTTTTTACAGGCAATTTGCCCATATTATTTCTGGCCATTCATCTCGATGGTTAATTTTTTTTACTATTATATTGGACAGTTGATATGATAAGGTAAATGAAGGATTATTTATTTTCAACGTACAGCATTTTACACGTGGCCATATAGTTGAACAAAATGCCTATAAATACCCTTCATTTGTGCAGCACAATACTCAAAATCTCCTTGACACCCCTTCAGTTTCTTCTATATTCTCTTTGAAGCTTTTATGGCTCATTTCCTTGTGTTGGTTTTGGTGGTTGCTACTCAACTAATTGGTGGATTCAGTACCCAGCTACCACCACCAATCTATGGAAACTTCATAAGCATTCTCACCATTGATGGTGGTGGAATGAAGGGCATTCTTCCATCGGTGGTTCTCGATCACTTGCACAAAGTTCTTAAGGTTTGAATCTGTTTGAATGCAAATTTAAAAGTGCTTTAAAAAAAATTTCTACTGAATATAACTTTTCAAAAAATATTTTTAACTTGTATTCAAATGATTTTATATTTATGTTATTATTGACATTCGCGACCACACATACACACATTATACTGTATAGTGGTTATTATGTTTCTTTTACGTCTTCTTAATTTTTTTATTTTGATAATAACAACTAAAAACCGAGAATTAGGAGATCAAGCGTATATAATCTTTTAAAAGAATAAGGTTTTTTTATGAAGTTGACATCATTCAATTGGAAAGGATAGAAAAGGAGCTACGAAGACAGATCTAATACCATTCACCAAAAAGAAAAAAAAAATATTTAATCCCTTTTATGGAACCTATAAATTTATTGCACTATTTCTTGAATTAGTTTCCTAAAAAGATTGAGAAAAAACTGTGAGTACTTTATTTTCATAAACTTACAAGCGAAGGCACTAAATAACACACCTAACCATGATTGTTTTTTTCTCAATGGTTATAAAGTTTATATTAGAATACGACTTGATACTGGCTGATTGACTATTTTAAGGTAATTTTTAAAACTAATTACGTAAATGAGATTCTTTTAAAATTATTTATGTTTTTGGGTAGTCTACTACAGTTTCGCTATGGACTATAGCAATACTAGTACTACGTGTAATTTTTTTTTTTTTTAAACTCAGAACAGCTTGAATTTAGTCACGTAGAAGTCGCTATCGGCTGTAGTGATTTTACTAATGTCACTATCGGCTCCTTCACCATTTAAAATGACTCAATTTTATAAATAATAAATCTTTTTTCATAGGAAAAAAATATAATTTAAAATATATTTATTTTAAAACTTGAACTTTAAAAACATTTTAAAATTTTTTTTACAAAAAACAAGATTTTTTTTAAAAATAACCCTAAATAGTTCAGTGTACAAAAAAATAAATTAATAGTATATTTGAAGAAAAATTTAAATAAAAAAATTAAGATAAAAAAAATGGCATTTTTATAAAGAAAAAATTATTAAAAAATGGAATTTTTTTTAAATGATAAAATAAATGTGGAGAAAAGTAAAAAAAAAAAAAAAAGGAGGTAGCTATGGGCCCTAACGACTCTGGTATTCCATAAAAAATATATATATAATTTATTTAAAATAGTAAACATAATTTATAAAAAATACATGTGGAAAAGAAAAAAAATGAAAAATATAAAAAGAAAAAATAACTTAAGGGAAATAATATAAAAAAAATGTAAAAGCAAAAAATGAATATTAAAATTAAAAAATGTAAAAAAATGATAAAAATAAATGTGAAGAAAAATACATCTAGAAAAAAAAGGAAAAATATAAAAGATAAAATTAACAAAGGAGAAAAATGTAAAAAAAAAACGCAAAAACAAAAGTATAAAATAAAAATTTAAAAAATTTGATAAAATAAATGTAGAAAAAAAAAAAAAAAAGAGGTCACGCTATGAAGTATGAACCATAACAATATTGTGTCATTATAGTCCATAACGACCTCTTTTTTATTTTTATTTTTAATGTTGCTATGGCTCATAGCAACCTCCTTTTATTTTTTATTTTTACTTTTTTCACTTTTACTAGAGGCAGTCTCTATGGCCCCTAACGACCTCCTTTTTTTTAACACTTTTTCCACTTTTATTTATTAATTTTTTAAAAATTTTTATTTTATACTTCTTCATTTTGCATTTTTTTTTACATTTTTTTCTTTTAGTTAATTTTATCTTTTATATTTTTCTTTTTTTTTCTTTTCTAGATGTATTTTTCTCCACATTTATTTTATCATTTTTTTTTTAAATATTTCAACATTCATTTTTTTTTTTAATTTTTTTTATATTATTTCCCTTTAATTATTTTTTCCTTTTATATTTTTTATTTTTTTTCTTTTTCACATGTATTTTTATAATTTTTGTTTACTGTTTTACAAATTTTGTATATTTTTTATTTTTTATTTTGTTTATCCTCTGTGACTCAACTTTTTTTTTTCTGTTTTTAAAATTATAATTATACGCTATAAAAAAATTAAATAAATTATATATATTTTTTAATTATTATATACTAAAATTTTAAATAAATTATTTTATAAAAATAATTAATTAGTGTCGTTATAGGTTATAGCAATTTCATTAATTTATTTTTTTAAAATTTTCAGCCGAGCATGAAGCCGTTTTGTGTCGTTAGAGGCTGTAACGACTTTACAATAGGCGCTACCAGCTGTAACGACTTTTATAATATGACTTTCATGGCTTCCAAAAAAAAATACACGTGATACTAATGTCGCTATGACCCATAGTAACACTATAGTAAACTGCCCCAAAAGCGTAAATAATTTTAAAATAACCTTATTTACATAATTAATTTTAAAAACTACCCTATAATGGTGGATCAACCCATTTATAAATTATTTACTAGAATAAGACTATTTTAAATTATATTACGCCTTTCGGTGATAATGACACAAGTGATACTTTCATTTATTTAAATGTTACACTTTCACTTCCACCATTCTTTACAAATAAAATTATTTTCAACTTTTGTGTTTATTTATTTATTCTTTTAGGGGTTGCTGGTGGCTATAGAGACTCCAATTTACGCAATTTATTTCAAAAAAACGATTCACAATTATCAAAAAGTCTAAGAAAAGTGGTTCACTATGGCAAACAAAATAATAGTATATTTAAAATATAGAATAAATTATACTATTTTTTATTTTTTAAGATTCAATTTACTTTTGGTAATTTGAAATAGTTTAATTTAGTTCTATGTTTTTCAAAAAAAAATTAATATTATCCTTTTTAAAATTGACGTTAATGACATATGATGCAAGAATATATTGAACATTATTGTTTGAAAATTAAATAACTAAATTAAACTATTTAAAAATAATGAGATGAGATTAAACATTTAAAAATAAAATAATCAAATTAAAAACAATTATTTCTTACAAATAGGCTCTAAGAATATGTTTATGCTAAATATAATAGTTGGGAGAATTTTAATTAAAACGGTTGGAATCCACATACATGCATGGGTATATTTTGCTTTTATATATATACCTTGTTGAAATTATTGTGTTGTGATGATGCAATTGCTTTTATATATATATCTTGTTGAAATTATTGTGTTGTGAGGATGCAACAATTGCAGGCCTGGACATTGTCCTGAATTTGATGGGGAGTTCTTGCATAACATCATTCGTAAGATATTGAAAGAAACACGACTGAGTGACACATTGACGAGTGTTGTAATCCCAACTTTCGACATTAAGAGACACAAAAGCCAGTAATATTCTCAAAATACAAGGTTAGCATACTTGCACAGAATTAATCACACTTAATTACCTATAATGGCTAAAATTACTAAACATTATTGTGTTTGCAATTAACTTTGGTGATGCAGCTTAAGACACTTCCCTACTTCAATGCCAAATTGTCTGATATATGCATAGCAACTTCAGCTGAACCTGCTACTCTACCACCCTACTATTTTGAGAATGATGGTGTTAGTTCAATGTGGTTAATGGTGGTTTGGCTGCTGTTAATCCGGTAAATTAATTATGGGATGCTTTTATATATTATTACTATTTATATAATCTCCTGTTTGCACAATCACAACACTTTTAATATTTGAAAAATGTCTTAAAATAAATGTTATTCTAACTTTTTAATATAATAATTTTTTTTTAATTTGTCTTTCATAAATTATTCAATTATCACAATTAAAATTAATGCACTTATTGAGAGAATGACTTATTTTAATAAAAATGTATATAAAAAAATTGATAGATTTAATGTTGCCCTTAATTAATGTGTAAAAACTTAAATTGCAGTTATTGTGGTATGGAATGGATATAACTTTTAAATAAATGAACACTTATTTTATTTCAATTATAAGAAACATAGGTTGATGTTTAAATATGTCAATTATTTATTTTTATATCTTTAATTTAGGAGAAAATGAGTTATGTATTGACATTGTAAAACAAAAACTTTATACAATCATCCAATAATAAACCATATATATCTTGAAATTTTTACAAAATTGTTTTAGAGTGATACTCGCAATGATTTCTAATTAATTAATAATGTAATTTTTTTAAATTAATTGTGCATAATCATTAAACTCTCCACTTATTATAAAAGGAATATATTTGTTAACTTGATAAAAATATAGGTCATACTTGTTTGATGGGAAAACTATTTTCTTGAATGTTGAATATAACCACAACTTCTACTTAAATAATTTAATTTATGGGTATTTATTTATAAAAATATTATTAATTAAAATTAATTAAGTTAATTATTTTCATTGGTCATAGCAAATTAGTAATGTTTCTTATATTGAGTACCAAATATATAGTATATATTAGAGGAGTGTACTCTTGTTCAAAAAAAAATTAGAGGTCTGTTCTGTTAACTTTATTCTTACTTTAGATACAGTAAATAATTAATTCTAAATCCTAATATTTTATTTAAAATTCACTTACTTAATAAAGAAAAAATATTAAATGTATTGAATTTTCATTTAATAATTATTTTTTGTGACGAATTAATTAAGAGGGTAGTTAGCAAATTAATGTAATATTACTCTGGGACAATTGATTCTCAAAATGACTTATTTAATGATATTGTATTAGGTATTATTAATTGTCTCTTCTTGTTACTACTAAAACATATATGCTAATAATCACACATGAATGTACAATCTATGAAGTTTAACGAGATGAAGTTTAATATATATGATCAGACAGAAGCTGCATTGAGTGAAGTGATACGATACAACAAGTATACCAAAATTGTGGCACTATCATTAGGGACTGGAGTAACAAAAGTTGAGGAGAAGTATGACGTTGAAATGGCTGCTAAATGGGACAAAATTCGTTGGATACAACCTGGACTTGAACTTCTTCCTCGTGCTTCTATGGACATGACTGAACATTACCTTGCCACACTAGCTATTCTCAGGCCTCCAACCAAACAAATAGCTACCTTCGAATTCAGGTATATATAGTGCTTAAAGATAATTGTAAAGACATGTCAGTGATATTTTTTCTAACAATTTTTTTTAATAATGGTTGAAATTTGATAATAAAAAAAAGAGAGTAAATTTTATATCTCATTTAATAGGCCTTTCCTGATTAATTATTAAGTGAATCATATATAATTTTTCCTGAATAGTTTTCCTTAAGTACAATTCCATGTTTTAGGACTATTTGTTTTAGAATAATTGATGAATCATGTAATGACAGGTATACCGTATGGTGGCCGACCCGTCCGAATACCCGAGACCGTTACTTAGACTGAATACTCGAACTCGCCGATCACTCCCTGGATGGGGCGAAACGTGTCGGCGGGGTCGGCCGAGTTCGTCACCCTCGTCAAGATGGTTACGGAGAGATTAATTAACATAATGCATAGGATTAGACCCCTAATTTTCTGGGGCCCAGTCCCTAATCGTGGCCCAACAAGAACTACTATAAATAGAACCCCAACAAGGTATGTAATTAATTTTCAACTACCGCATTTATTACGCTGAGCACTTACTTGAGCGTTGGAGTGTCTTTGCAGGCACACCCCCCCTCACATTGGACTACCCGGATAGGAACGAGAAGACCGAGACCCAGGATCAGACCCGCTACAACAAGGATAATTAAAGTGTGTATCCTACACAGGAACATTTGGCGCCCACCGCGGGGCCGAAGAGACATTTTCAGCCCCTCTTAAACTCTACGACTGAGACCGAGATATGGTAGTAACACGTAAAAGGACAATCTACAACGACTCAACCGATCCCAAACCCCGAGAACAATACCGCCATGAACAACCAAGAACGATACCCGTACGGGATGCCTCAAACTCAACCGAATCCTGTGATACAAGAAATCCATCCGAGCGCTAACCAAGCCCAGCCCGACCTTCAAGACGACATGCGCGCCTTGCGAGAGGAAATGGCGGCCATCCGTCGACAGAGAGAAGCCGACGCCCAAGAACTGGCTGAGCTTCGTCGGCAAAACGCCAAGCTCCGAAGCCTAAACCAAACTTACGTGCCGTCAACTCCCACGCTCCAAGAAGAGTTGGCGTACCACGTCCCGACTAACCACGTGACCCGAACGCCAGTCACCTCTCTAATAGGAAGCAAGTCCGACACCAGTGTTCACTCTCTAAGACACCCCTTCTCGAGAAGGATATAATGGAAGCAACCCTATTGGACCATTGGAAGAGCATACCGATTGAGAAGTACGATGGGTCAACCGATCCCGAGGAGCACCTGAACGTTTTCCTGACTCAAGCGACCCTCTCAACACAAGATGACTCGGCATTGTGCTGAATATTCCCCACGCCATTGAAGGGAAGGGCATTGAGCTGGTTTACGAGACTGCCGAGCTCCTCCATTGATTCGTTTAACGAGCTATCATCCCAATTCACCCTGCAATTTGCGACGAGTAAGCCGTACAGGACAACCTCCCTAGCCTTGGCGGGGGTTCGTCAGGAGAAGAAGGAAAACCTGGGTCTTCGAGAGTCTTTGAGTCTTATTTCCGACCCGGACAATTTTAGGGGTCTACAGCGATCTAAACCCGGCCGTGGCCCTGGACCATTTGATAACTGCTCTTAAGCCGGGGTCGTTCGTGAATAGCTTATGTAAGAAACCACCAGTTGACATGAACGATCTCAGACGCAGGGCCGAGAAGTATATGCAAATGGAAGAGCTTGCGGAGACCCGCAACCAGGCTAGGGCCGAGGAGGCCTACAGCAGGAAGGAATCGGGCCAGGAACCGATGAAAAAGGGGAATGTCGAGCCCCCGAACCCTCGTCCACCGAGAGGACCGCGTACACTCCCCTCAATGCGAGCAGAGCAAAGGTATTGGAGCAGGCCCTCGCATCCGAAATATTGGTGATACCCAAGCGGGCGAACACACCTCCGAGGGCTAACAAGGCTAAGATATGCCAATTCCATTGAAACCGGGGCCATTCGACTGAAGAATGCTCGGCACTGAAGGACAAACTTGAGGACCTCATCAAGCAAGGTCACCTCGGAAACTTCGTGACACCCCAAGATCATCGAACAAGAGGGCGAGACCAACACTCTCGCGAAGCACCATTGTAGAGAGACCGACGCCATAGGTCTCGATCAACCGAAAGGAGAGACCACTCCCAAAGTTCCCAAGAAGACAACAGCCGACCGAGGAAGATAATAAACACAATAGCAGGAGGTTTTTCCGGGGGAGGTTCCACATCTTCCGCCCGGAAAAGACATCTCCGAGCGGTACGATCAATAAATAGCGTGAACCAGCCAAAGACGCCGAAGATACCTCCGATCACCTTCTCCGACCGAGATTTCCTAGGCGTCGATCCCGTCCAGGATGACCCCATGGTAATTTCTGTGGAAATGCATAATTGCATCATGAAGAAGACTTTGGTCGACTAGGGGAGTTCTGCCGACATCTTGTACTGGAACACATTCAAGAAGCTCGGGATCCCGGAGGAAAGCCTAGAGCCATATCACGAGCCGCTAGTCAGATTCTTCGGCGAAAGGGTAATGACCAGAGGGAGCATTGACTTGTACACTCGGTTTGGGTTCGACCAGAAGTCCTCACGAGAGATCAAAATCCGATACATCGTGGTGCATGCAAACACATCATATAACATCCTACTAGGCCGACCCTCCATTAATGCCCTGGGTGCGATTGTCTTAACCCCCCACCTGTGCATGAAGTTTCCGTCTAGAGACGGCCAAGTGATAACCGTGCATCCTGACCAAAAAATAGCAAGAGAATGTTATCTCTCTAGCCTCAAAATACAGTCGCTAGCCGACTCCCCGAAGGCGAAGGGTGTGAATGAAGTAAGGCAACACACAACGGAGGATATCGACCTTGACCCTCGGTTAGACGAAGAACGAATCGAGCCAGCCGAGAATCTCGTGTCGTTTCAACTGGGCAGATCACCCGAACAAGTCACAAACATGGGATCTTAGTTGAGCGAGACCGACTCAAACCGAGTCAAATGTGTAGTCAGGGATAACCGAGACCTCTTCGCGTGGACGACATCAGATATGCCAGGAATAGACCCCAAGTTCTTATGCCACCGATTAGCCGTGTGCCGAGACGCATGACCAGTTGCACAAAAGAAAAGGAAGATGGGGGATGCGAAGCGAAAGGCCGCGAATGCAGAGGTGAAGAAGTTGTTACAAGCTAGATTTATAAGAGAAGTCACATACACGACTTGGCTAGCCAACGTGGTCCTAGTCAGGAAGTCAAACGGAAAATGGAGAATGTGCACCGACTACACCGACCTCAATAAAGCCTGCCCTAAGGATGCCTATCCACTCCCTTGCATCGACCGACTCGTCGACGGAGCGTCTGGGCACTCTATCTTCAGCTTCCTCGACGCCTATTCCGGCTACAACCAGATAAGGATGCACCCATCTGACGAGGAGAAAACGGCGTTCATCACTGAAAATGCCAACTTTTGTTACCGAGTTATTCCATTCGGACTTAAGAATGCCGGAGCGACCTATCAGAGGTTAATGGATAGATTATTCCGAGAGAAAATCGGCTGAAACATCGAGATTTACGTGGACGACATGGTGGTCAAGTCCAATTCCCCTTCCGAGCACATAACAGACTTAGCCGAAATCTTCGGCGAACTCCGCAAGCACAACATGAGACTCAACCTCGTGAAATGCACCTTCGGGGTTAAGGGAGGCAAATTCCTGGGTTTTATGCTATCAGCGAGAGGCATAGAAGCCAACCGAGACAAATGCCAGGTCGTGCTAGACATGCGGAGCCCAAGCAACCTCAAGGAATTGCAACGCCTATCGGGAAGATTAGTCGCCTTATCCCATTCCTCCCGCGTCTAGGCGACAAAATTAGCCCTATGACGAAACTCTTGCGGAAGGCCTCGGCCTTCTCATGGAACGAACTGTGCGAAGAAGCCTTTTTGGCGTTGAAAGCGTCCTTGGCGACACCGCCGATCCTAACAAGACCTGATCCTTCGTTCCCGCTGTTGGTATACTTGGCCGTATCCGACGAGGCGATCAGCTCAGTTTTGGTGCAAGACAAGGAGGGCACCCAAGCTCCCATATACTTTGTCAGCCGACTCCTCCAAGATGCCGAGACCCGGTACCAACTGATAGAAAAGGTGGCCCTCGGATTAGTGCACACCTCCCGCCGTCTTAGGCATTACTTCCAAAGCCACCGAGTGGTTATACATACCGACTGTCCAATCTCGAAGGTCCTAGGCAAACCCGAGCTCGCAGGGAGAATGATGGCCTGGTCGGTGGAGCTCTCGCAATTCGACATTACCTACAAGTCGAGAGGGCCGATCAAAGCTCAGTGCCTGGCGGACTTTATAAACAAGCTACACCCACACGGCCACTTTGAGGAGCAATGGTGGACCCTCCATGTGGACGGTTCCTCAAACTGCCAGGGGAGCGGGGCAGGAGTGATCCTGGAGGGACCGAAAGGGTTAACTTTGGAGCAATCACTACGCTTCCGGTTCAAAGCTTCGAACAATCAAGCCGAGTATGAAGCCCTACTCGCTGGCCTAAGACTAGCTGAAGACATGGGAGCTTCGAGAATCAAATGCTTAACCGACTCCAAAGTGGTGGCCGAGCAAGTAGGCGGACACTTCCAAGTGAAGGACCACAACATGATTAAATACTACCATGCCTATCAAAAGTTAAAAGCAAATTTCCAAGAGGTCTTGGTCGAGCACATCCCGCGTGAAGACAACACCCGAGCCGACTAGTTGGCTAGATTGGTCGCAACCAAGAAGCCGGGCCAACTGAGAACAATCATCCAGCAGGAAATCGGTCACCCAAGTGTGGAGGAGATGGTAGCAAATGTGGATACCGACCTTCCCAGCCAGAGTAACCCGTCCGACTGGCGGGAAGAAATCAAGGCATTCATCACCAAGGGCGCCGTCCCAGCCGACCCGACCGATGCCAAAAGGTTAAGAACTCAGGCCAGCAAATACGTTGTTATCGCAGGCCTGTTGTATAGGCGTGGCTTCTCCACCCCTCTTCTCAAATGCTTAAGCCACGCCGAAGCCGAGTATGTGACACGAGAAGTTCACGAGGGAATTTGCGGAACCCACTCAGGAGCAAGGATGACCGTGGCGAAACTCCTACGAGCCGGGTATTACTGGCCGACCATGAACACCGATTGTGAGATGTTTGTGAAGAAATGTCAACCGTGCCAGAAACATGGCAACCTAATCCACCGACCAGCCGAGCATCTGCATTGTATTCCTCCTGCATGGCCGTTCGCCACGTGGGGAGCCGACATACTTGGACCTTTCCCAGT